TGTAGAACTCTGTCTGGTCTGGATACTTTTAAGTATGGGTTTCCGCCGGTGCCAGACACCCGGCTGAAACCATTTTGTAAGTGAAAGTATCTGTTTTTCAAGTCATTGGCCAAAATCCAGCTTGATGGGTTAGTTTAATAACGAAGAGGCAAGTTGCCTTGTGAAAATCGTATCAAACCGGGGGCCGTGAATCAGTAAATAACTCAGTTGCCCATTGCCTGGGCTGGAAGGATAGACTGGTCGTAAACCATCCAAGTTCATTATCTGTCAACTGAAAGCTAGAAGATGAGATGTTGAAATTTCAGGTAACCTACAGTTTGTACAACCAATGTTACTGAGCATTTCAGGAAGAAAATGACGCTTTTATTTTTTTTAATACCACTTTTATGATTTAGGAAACTAGAAATATTCCTAATTAATGCCACGTTACAGAAATGGTACAATTGTTTTCAGAGATACTTTCTTTTTTATAGGTTAAGAGCTTTGAACCACCAGCTGTTAAAAGGCTTTGAGGCAGTGTGTGCCATGTGTAAAACATTTGTATATTATGCTCCATCTGAAAATACATGTGCACATTGGGAATTGTAGTTTCCTTTATTTATGTAATTAAACAATCCAGATCACTGTTAATTCGCAATTACACACCAGTCATCCCTTCTGTACATCGGTGTACACATGATGCATGAAGATCGCTCCCCACTCTAGCAATCAGCGTGTGGTTAACGTGGCAAAGATGCTATTGTTAAAAACATTTAGTCCCAAATGGATTAAGATGAATTTAGTGGTGGGTATTTAATGTCTTAACAGCTTTGCTTTATCAGTTAGCAATTTTTAAGGCAGGAGCTGTATCCAGCCTATTAAAATGAAATTGTCTACGCTACTCATTTTAGTGATCGTAGATGAGTAACAACTATGTGTTCTTTTTAAAAATGTTGGCACTTTGCTTAAGTTGACCTCCTGTGTTCTTGATTTTTCAGGCAGCTCTGAACATGTCTATGAGGCTAGATAAGGAAAAGCTGTTTCCGCTGGTAGGTGTGTCTGATATCTACCAAAAGAAGCAGAAGGGCGGTTAGAAGAAATGTTTTCACTCAGCGAGTGTTTCGAATTTGGAATGATCTGCCCGGAAGGGCAGTGAAGTCCGATTCGATAACAGCTTTTAAGGGAGAACTGGACAGGTATCCGGGGAGGACGGGTTTGTGGGGTTATGGGGAGAAAGCTGGTGATTGGGGTTAGTGAAAGTGACTTGCTCTGTCAAAGAGCCGCACAGACTCGATGGGCCGAATGGCCTCCTTCTGTGCCGTACCATTCTATGAATCTATGAAATCTATGATTAACGGACAGCAGGTTGACACCAGGTGGAGAGATATCTGAATACCTATTACTGAAAGTACTAGGCATTCAGATACAAAAATTGTGGAGTCCTGTAGCTTAGTGGTTAGAGCACTCGCCTCGCAAGCGAGAGGACTTGGGTTCGTTTCACGGGCAACGAGAAACACTGGGCAAGTTTCCTTACTCCACACGCCTCTGTTTGCCTCGCAATAAGTAGTTAGTCGATTGGCGGATCGCTTTTCTGGGGGTAATAATCCCTTCAATAAAAATAAATAATAATTGGTCACTCAATCCACGACTGTTGAAATGAGTCCTGCTCTTCGATAGCGATCGACTCGCGTGTAACTTTGTTCATTTTCTTTAGGACATCAGGTTTTGTAGTTCAAAGGAGTAAAACAAAATCGTAGGTTTAAGGAATGACTGATATGTTTAATGCACAAGTCTTGCCTCTTGTTTCCTATTTCTCACGGTCTCCACTGACACCAGCGTTTGCTGGCTTGAGAGGACGGACCGGTGTCTTACTGCCCGGCTTTCTAACCCTCTTTGTTACCCGTCGCTAAGAGGCACACAAACTAAGAGCAGACTGGGGTGTTCTGTCCCTAACAATAAAAACTGACAATAGATTTGTGCAGTGGGTCGGGAAAAGGAACAAGGGTGTTCAAATTGACCAGTCTGGTTTAGCCAGATTTTACCATTCAGGAGGCAGAGTGAGACACGACATTTTCTGCGCTCACAGAGAATTCGCCAATCTCCTTCCAGCTTGAATTCCAGACTAACCTTTTTGGAGAAATCAGTGTTGTGGAGCATGACGGGTTTTTGTATTTACTCTGAGAGTATTGTAAGCTGAGATATGCTTGCCAATTCTCAAATTTTGGTAGTAATTGTGTTTCATAAAATTGAGAAGACCATGACTTGCATTTCAATTCACTATTTTATCCCTCTTCAACTTAAGTTGCGCACAAATATGTCACCTTGTCAGGCTTTTGTCAATGTTACTGTTGAGCTGACCTCTAAAAGCAAACGAGAGAGAGAGAGAGAGAGAGAGCTTAACATGGAATCTTATACCTTCTTATTTACGGCAGTTATTTATTTTATTGCTCCCTACCCAAACAGTGTGAAGCAGCAATAAACCAGGGTGCTGAGCTACGTATTGGGATTTTATGGATCTCAACCAGCATTTCAGGGTTTTACTGTATTCTAGAAGGATGAGATCAAATGAATTGAAAGGCCTTCATTTCTTCCAATTTGAAGTATTTCTATGGATCCGCTCACTATTGTAGTATTCTGCCAGCAAGCAACCAAGTTTTGAAAATGCTTGTTATCAACTATCAAAAGCAGAATGATTTGTGTGGTGCTGTCCTTCGATTTCTGGGGCAACTAAGCCTTTGCAATTGCATTGATTGCCTAAAGGAAAGTAGCAGTTCACGCTGAGGAATGGCTCGCGCTGTTCACTTGCCGTGTTTGCTGAACCTGTGGCTTTGGTGGAAATTCTCTTTTCTTATTTCCACTGTTTTCAGTTGTGAGAATTTTAGGAAATACCTGAATGTTGCTTCACAAAAATCTAAATATGTGATTTAGCCGAAAATCTACTGAGATTGACTTATCTCTTAATGAATGTTTAAGTGGTTTAATCGCTTCTACCCTATCAATGACCTGGGGATGTGTAGAGAATTTTTTTTTAGTGCACATATGAATTTGTTCTGTGCGTGTTACTCTGTAGAACTGGCACGGCTCTCTTGCTTTCAAGAGAAGAGTAATGAACTTGGATGTTTCACAGGAATTGGAACCATAAATGAAACATTTATTAACCTGGTATAGTTTGCGGCTGCCTCATCGGTACTCCCTTAATAATAATAATAATCCTTGCATTTGATATAGTGCTTTTCACATCTTCTAGACGTCTCAAAGCGCTTCACAGAATACACTGTAAGATTTTAAAATCTTCCTTAACTTTTTGCACATGGGTCAGAGTTTGATTTCAGTCAGTTTGTGTGAAATTACTAAAACGGGTGAATCGTGATTGGGATGGTGGGATTTTTGTAGAGTATTTCTTCACACAGCAAACATGCTTTCCTTCTGGTTGCTGCACAGAATTTTTTTTTTTGCCAGATTGGTAGTTTTTGTGGGTCACTAGTTTGTGAAACCATGGGACGATTTTTAGGATTGCATAGCTACAGGATGAAGGGTGTTATTCCTGGTGTCCTGCCAGGCCAACAATACCTGGATTTTTGAGGAGGGGATAGTTGCAGTACGTTTGAGGGGAGTGGAGACCATGCAGTGAACCACAGAGAGGTTGATAATGTCCATTAAATATTGTCCCTACACTTTAGTGTTTTGAGACGTCCTCCTGACTTGAATGTCCAATGTCAAATGGAAGCGTTGTTATTATCTGCTGGATGCAATTTTATTGTCCGAGAATCTTACAATGTAAGTGCGGTCTATTGTGCACCATGTGTAAGTGGATGTGCACAGAGGGAAGTAACTTAATTCTATAAATAATGATGACTGAAAGGATTGGTTGTTCAATGAGTTCTCCGATTTCCAGTATTGAGCTGGCGAGGTGCTGAGGCCAGGCTCGGTACTTCAAACTGGATAGTGACTGTAGATATTTGAGGACATCCTTGACACTGGATGAAGAGTGGGTTTAACCATTGTTGGCAAGACGTTACTTTTTCGACGTTAAGATCAGAATCATTTTCATGGCAAATTATATTTCGGATTGTCATATGACCACAAAGGTTTTTCATTTAGGAAAAAAATGGAAAATCTTTCTATGGAACCATATAAATTTACAGCACAGATTTGGCCCATTTTTGTCTGCGCTTGTAAAGAGCAATCTTTTCAGTCCCATTTATCCTATGTAGAATCAGAGAAATGTCACCCCAGTGTTGTTCAGGGTAGCTCTGGGAATAAAACCCTTTTTCTTTTAACTGATTGTTACTCAGTCGGCAAAGTCGTGAACACTTTCGAAATCATTGGCGGTATTGGCAATGATGCAGAAAGCACTGGTGCACTTTTTAATCCCTGTTTTTTCATTAGAATATTCCTGGTTTGTGTGTTTGGTGCCTTCACAGACCGTCATTCAGCGGAATATATAATAATATTAATAATGTACATTTTGGGGGCAAAGCGGCAGCCAATTACGCGTAGCAGTGTCCCACAAACATCGAGTGAGACCAAATTATTAATTAAATTTTTTTTTAAAAGAAGCATCATAAATGTACCTCCACGGGGGGCAGCACTCAACACCTTGTTCACATCTGGAAAGAACATAAAATAAAATGTATCAGCAAAATTAAGTCTGCTTCCATTAAGGTTTTAAATTTTTCTTAAGTCAGTTCGTGTAGATAGAAATAAAAAAAAATAGTATTTTTTTTTCAGTGAGAAGGTACTTACCGTCACCTTGAAAGAGCACCGACCTGTGCTTTGATTCCTAACCCAGAGCGGAGACTTTCTTTTTGGAATCAGAAGTCGGATCTGATCTGACTTCAGGGCAATTAGCTCATCTCATCGCCTGAAAGGGAACTTTATGTGAAGCAAAGTGACGTCATGTGTTGTTTATCTGAAAAAAAAGAGCGGCCAAGCCCACAGTAGATTAAAAAAACAGAGAGAGAGAGAGAAAGAGAGAGGAGGGAGGGAGGCAGAGCGAGTACATTTGTCCGATTGTTCGCTTTACTCAGTTTGCTATTGGCATGTGACAGAATTTGCAGCAACGTGAAACTTCCAATAGTCTCCTGTGAGTGTCGGCTGGTGACAGGGGCAGAGGTCAGCAGTTGGGGCTCTGACGGCCCAAAGCAGCTGCTGGTTGGTAACGTGTTGTGGACGAGGGAGGTGGCTGTGTGGGGCTTGCGGTCGAGTAAGTTTTCAGTTTGTGTCAAAACTGCCTTAACGCTCTCGCTGAAGTGATTGCATCTGGCATTCTGCGACCATGCCCTGTAGCATAACTGTTACCATCTTTGGGATATATTTGTGCTCGCTGTCAGTGTGAGCGGTAGGAATGAGGAAGAGTAAAGCATGCCGGATTCCGTGCTTTCTGTGGCTGCCAAATGTGTGAGATACGATGTGTAATAACCCGTTTCGCTCTGAATGGGAATCAGAAAGCAACACTCCTCTCGGACTAATGATAGCCACTTCTAAAGAGATCGCGTTTAAGTGGGTTGGAAGGCATTGTTCCCGTTGGATCGAAGTAAACTGAGGGACGGCTGAAACAGGAGCGTTTGCTGAAAGGATGTCCAGTGCTGGAAGGGCTGCCTGCAGCCCCAGCTTGATCTGCCGAAACTGGAATTGGGAAAGGCCGGTGGGAATTGACTGCAGCTCCCCCGAGCCTCGCTGTATCTGGCTGGCTTCACTGAGGAATGTGACCTCGGAGGCTAACCCCAGGAACGAGAGAGACAGTGATTTGTCAGCTGTCAAAAGAAAGCACAGTCTTCCTGAATGGGCAGACGAGGAGTTTCTGGTAAGGCGTTTTGGTTCAAAAGTTGTTGTTGAACTCCGTTGATTTGTGCTTGAGGAGGTGTGGAGGCAACCAGTTGCAGTTTCTTGAATCCTGCACAGCCTCAGGAACTCTTTACCTTAATAAGTGCAAATAAACTCTGCTCTGTACAACATGTAGGAACCAAGTGTGTTTGCTTGAGGCAAACCTGTCACCGTTGCTGGTTTCTCTGCTATTACATTGTCATGTTTTCCAGCACGTGTCGTTAGTTTTCGTGTCGTTAGTTTTTGAGCAGCCAGTTTTGTCTAATACCTTGTCCGTTATAATAATGTGATAACCCTTGCAGCACGTTGTTGAGACGACTCAAAGCACTTCACAGGATATACTGTAATGTGATTGACTGTGTATTTTGTGGGTGAAATGCGGCAGCCAATTGCGCACAGCAGTGTCCCACAAACGGTCGTAGATTGAATGAATTCATTTTCAAACTTCTGTCTCATGGGCGAGAGTGCTACCACTGAGCCAGGCTTATCTTTAATCAATATTTCACATACACACTTAATCGATTCTAAATCAGCTGCTGAATGATTTCTAAATCCTTTGCGTGCTTACCCCTGCAGACTTCAGTAGCTGCAAACTTCTCATGAAACATGCACTCCAAGACTCTATCCTGCGTGAAGGACGCTATATAAATGCAAGTTCTTGTTATAGGAGCTGTTTTATGACTGCATTTGTTTACAAAAAATCTTAATTTGTGAGCATAAGCCTGTATCCAGCACTATATAACATAGTCTGTTAGTAAAGCAGCCACGGCAATGGACAACACTGATTGTGTGAAAGCCACAGTGTACTCCATGGTTGTACTTTTTTCCTGTCGTAAAAATAAGAGTGTAAAGCTAACAATCTGTCCGGGCAGGTGGAATGTTGGTTACGGAGGTATTCAGGTTCTCACGTTGGAAGTCAGTCTGAGAAACAAGCAGTCAGTGTAATCATAGTGCTCTTCACAACAGGCTCAGCCAGTGGATTTTGGCAGGACGTCTGGGGCTGGTGAGTGGCCGTCATTCGTGTAAATACAAACCACACGAAGGAAAATTGATCTTTAATGTGTAAACAGGAGGAGCGTTGAGGAATGGTCGACTTTGTGTGTCAGAAAAGGTTGTGGATGCGTGAAAGATCGGACAAGATGGAGCTTGTCTTTCTGGAGAGGAGACCTGATAAAGATGTTTAAAATTATGAAGGAATTTGATAACATGGATATCAAAAGATTGTTTTGATGAGTACAAAATAAGAGGCCATCAATATAAGATGGCCTGAAGCAGATCTGAAAGGGGGTTTAGTAGGAATTTCTTTACACAAGGGGTGGTGAGAATGTGGAACTTGTTGCTGGAAACTGTTTAAAGCAATTTGTGGAATCGTACGCTGTGCAAATTAATTGACATGTTTGCTTATAAAGAGTCACCAAACTTAACAGTCGCTGTTGTTTTACTACACAAATGCGAATAGTTTTTTTTTCGTTTGGACCTGCTCATCTTTCCTGACACAAGGAATAGAATTCTGTTCAATATTTATAATCCTGAACCATTCTAATTTAATTCTAATAAAAATAATCTGTGAACGTAAGCCTGTATCCAGCACTATATAACATAGTCTGTTGGTAAAGCAGCCACGGCAATGGACAACACTGATTGTGTGAAAGCCCACCGCGTGCTCCATGGTTGTATTTTTTTCCTGTCATAAGAATTAGAGCTAACAATCTGTACGGGCAGGTGTTACTGTTCAAGTTGTGCAGATGTAATTGAGTCAGAGAGCGTTCTGCTGCTGCTGCAGCCTACGTTCCTGCTTCGACTACGAGGTCCCCAGCTCCACTACCCAAAACTACCACTGATTCGGAACTCCTCCACCCGTATTTCTCACCCATACTGAACTCCGTACCCCCATCACTCACGCCAGTCCTCACCAGGCTCCACTGACTCTCTATCACGAAACAGATCAATTTCAAGATCCTCTTATTTGTCTACAAATCCCTTTACACTTTGGCACCTCCCTATCTTCCTGACCTCCTTTCTTCCCGCTCCACTACCCGCTGCACTGTCAGCCACTACGCCCTGAAGCTTTGGAACGCTCTCCGTCAATCAAGCTTACGGACACCTCCTCCCGGCTCGGTTTCGTGCTCCGCCAGTGTTACGCGCTCCGAGACGCTGACCTGCAACTTGCATATAAATACAAGCTGTTGTTGTAAGCCGTGGAAATTCATTTCTCCTCGATTGCTCTGCTGAGCATCACCCACTATATGCCACCTTTGAATGACATGTAAGAAGCACGTTGCCAGAATGTTTGCGAAATCACCTTTGAAGTCTGTAATTTGGCCTTTTCTTTGTTTCTTTGGAAGAATTCTCACACTGCCAACCTTGGGAGGAAGCAGCTCATCCTTTTTTTTTCACTCTGCCATGTTTGAGCGTTTCCTTCCTGGATCCTTGAAACAAATGTCTGCCAGAAAAGCACCATATGCAATGCAGTGATGTTACGATCAAGGACACAAGGGGTTCTATAAACAGAACAGTGATATCAAGAGCAATCAGGACCATTAACATTAATATTTATTCCTAATTTTCATTATTTATAATGATCCTTGCATTTGACGTAGCGCCTTATCACGTCGTCTCAAATCTTCCGTCTGAAAATCTTCTCGTAAGGTATAAAATATTTAATATTGTAATATTCACACTATGTCATTATATTCTAGGAGATGCAATGTTCAAGTGACACTCCAAATCACTCACAAATTTGCCGCGTTAACCTACTTGAGAGATGTAGCTTGTCGCATATTCTCTATTTCTATAGGTCTAATCAACGTGTACTTTGGTGAATGGCACCTGCTGACATTGTTAGAATTATCTGCCAATTTACTTCTAAGTTTAAGCAGCCTTGAACATTTAAATAGACTGAGAGAGCTATAAATACTTGTGTCTTTGGAGAGTATTCCTCTGCTTGTGTTAGCCTTGTGAAGTATTTGCCACTGTTTGGTCTTTAAAAGATCAAAAGAATGGATCTGTGCCATAGTCCACTGGAACCATATGTTTTTATTTGGGCTTATCCGAGGCCAGAAGTGTTCAAAAGAATTTTAACTTTTAATTTATTAAAATAGAAAAGTGAACAGCATGAAATAATTACTGAAACTCAGACTCGGGACATTCTGCCGTGTGTGCTGAGTGGCTGCTTTACACTGCATCAAGGAACACGTCATTACCTGGAGAAGCAAAGTGGTTCACACCGCAAAGCTGGATCTATTTGTCCTGCTACCAATCTCTTGCCTGAAACCGAGGAAATCGCTGATCGTGCGTGTCAACCACAAACGAGTTGATGTGGGGGACGCGTTCGTTATTGAATCCACGACCGTTTTGGGGATTGGCTGCCAATAAAATACACCGATCAATTCACTTTACAGTAGATTCCGTGAGGCGCTTTGAAACATCTCAGCGACGTGATAAGGCACTACATCAAATGCAAGAATTATTATTATTATAGCTATAGAGGAGGAATCAATCGGAAGGTTTAAAAAAGGGGTACACAGATACCTATTGAGTGGAGGTATTAAAGGGTACGGCAAAATGGTGAGACTGGGATTGAAGGATCTGATATAAGGTAATAAACTGGTGGAACAGGGTGTGTGGGCTCAACGGCCGCCTTCTGTTTCTGTTTACCTGTGATTGTAAACAAAGGCTAAATGTATTATTTTTTATCATGCATTCCAAGGTAATCTCAGCAGCCACCCTTCTGAATAAATCACTCAGATTACGTGAGTTAAGTCAGTCGACCTTGCTTGTTGCTGTCAGAATTGTAGTAAGATGTGGTATAACCTGATGTTAGAGTTCATTACACAATGGAGCCTCAAATCCTGTTATTTCCACAATTTGCAAGTCCTCGCACAGTTTCTTCTAACAATCTATTCACCAGTAAGTGGTATTGTTTTGTATTAAGCATTCATAAAACTGGCATTTGGGGTTTCTAGCACTCGTTATTGGGGCCAGGAGAGTGGAGGGAAGGTTGACATGAAGTTGAAATGGATCTTGGTCTTGAGTTTGATTACATAAAGCAATTTACCAATTTGGAGCTTTATCCGAGTCATCTATTTGACGATTTGGCAATGTCAAACATTGATTACAGGAGTATGATCCAATTGGAACTCAAAAGTCGCCTAATTCAATCATTTTGGGGGCTGTCTGACACACCAAAACCCACTGTGTTTAAAGGTACCCAAACCATTGAATTCTATGCATTCCACCGACACAGGGAAATTCATGTGCATGGGAATGCTGGGGAACGATAGGTCTTTAATCATGGCCTTGCTCCTTCCTACCTCTGTGACCTGCTAATTGTGAAGTAATAATCCCTCAAAAATAATCCCTGATATTCTAATATCAACCGCTCAGCAGGCTCCAGCCCGCTTACGGCAGTCGGGCCTTCAGCCTCTCTGCCCTCACCCTTTTGAACTCCATCCCGCAGTCCCTTTGCCTCCATCAAGGGCCGTCTCAAGACCCTCCTCTTCATCCGCGCCTTTGGCACTCTCCTGTCCCTGCCCTCCCATCCCCTGCTTGGGTCCAAATCCCTGACTGTCCAGCACCTTGGAACGTCCTCTTGACGCGAAAGGTGCTATACAAATGTAATTTGTTGTTGTTGTCCCCCTGTCCGTATTCGAGAATTTGAATTCTTCGAACAGATCAGTACTCCTCCAGTTTTGTGCAGTGATATAGGTCCCTTGTTTTATTACAGGAAGTCGGTTATATGCAGCCTCTAAATGCCCTCCTGTGCATGTTGGCAGTCTAACTGAAGGCAGCATCTTATTTGTGTTGCATTTTTGCTTTCCCAATCCCTCAGATTGCCTAACTGCAATTCTCATGATTCCAAAACAGAATTGGACTAACTCCAGTAATATGTAATGCTCTTCTGTTCGAAATACCATTTGATGTTTTTCTTCCCACCAAACAGAGCAGAAGTCTGTCTCCTTTCTGCTTGTGAAGACACAA